GAGCCGCCACCGTGGAGCGCGGAGGCCGAGGACCGGCGTGCGGGGCTGCCCCCGCGGGGCGCCGGCCGGGGCGCGCAACTTTCTCCAGCGTCTTCCCCTGGCAAACCTAGGTCACGCGGCTCAGTGAACCTCGCTGGAGAGCCCAACGTCCCGCTGCGGCCACGCCCTCCGGGGAGTCCCACGGCGGCCAGCCCGCGGGCAGGAGCGCCTCGAGGGAGAGCCGAGGACGGGCGGAGGGGCCGGCGGCCGGGCCGGGCGGACGCCGGGGCGGGCAGAGGCCGTCGCCCGGGACCCAGCGGCTACTCCCGGCATGCTCCTGCCGGGGCGGATTTCAAACCCTCGGCCACAGGCACCTCCCCGCCTTCGCCCCCGCCTGCCCCGGCAACAGGCGGCGGCCCGCTTCTCATTGGCCGGACCCCGCGCCGTCGTGTTCTGATTGGCCTCGGGGCCTCCCTGCCCGGCTGCTGCGCTCGCCGCCGCCTCCATTTTGTCGGCAGAGGCGGAAGGAGGAGGCCGGTCGGAGAGGCTGGAGTGATCAGCAGCTAGCTCGTCTGTGCTCGTGGGCTTTGTTCGATCCCTGCCTCGTCGCTCCCTGGAAAGGGGGGGAGGCCTCGACCTCGAGAGGGAGCCGCCGCCACTGCAGTCCCGAGCTTGAAGTCGGTGAGTGGTGGCGGCACCGCGGGCGCGGCCATGTTGGTGGCCGCGCTCCCCATTGTTGGGGGACGGAGGCGAGATCGGGGAACCCGGGCGGGCGCGAGGAGCACCGGGACCCCGGGCCGGGCTCGAGGAGGATGGGGCCACTAGGGAGCCAAGCCCGCGCTGGAGGGAGCGAGCTTTCCGGCCTTGCGTTGGGAGTGGGACTCAGTCCGGAAATCCTTCTACTTAGGGTTATTAAACTGTCGGGAAGGCCCTTTCACTCTTTGAAAGGACGAGGGCTTCCCTGTTTGGTAACTTGGAACTTCGGAGCATCAAAGGAAAACGGAACTTTGAGTGTTAAACTGTTCCCTGTAGGGAGACGTTTTTATATATTTAAGATGGGACACCGGGGCTTGGCGTGTTGAGGCGTGTGAAAACTTATTTTAAAACGAGGAGTCGAGGGTGTTAACCAAAGGAAACGGCACTACGAGATGTAGACGTGTTGGGAGGGACTGAAAAACGGGTATGAGGTGTGTCGGAAGATTGGAAGGTTCTGGTGGGATTTTAAAAAACGCGATCTCTTTAGAAAACCAATTTCAAGTCTTGGTACGACTTTAAAGGCTTCCTTAGTTTGACCTAATATTTTGGTCACAAAATACGTTAGAGAATCTGAAAAGGTCTTTCTCAGGAAAAGAAACAAACTTGTTGCGGGACTTGCAGGCACTTTTCCAAAAATTCTCCAGGAGTTCCTGGATCTTAAGGATGTATAAGTTCTTAAATGAGGATGGTTATGAGGTCAAAGAAAGCTATACTCAGACATTTCCTACCTTTTTGTTCAAGAAGTAGCCGCCATTACAGTCAGCTATTTCTGTAATAAATCTCCTGTGTTTTTGGATTGAAGTAATCTTTATTTTTTTAGCTAGGACTTCTCTCAAACTTGTGTGCTGAGGAGACTCAGATGTTGGCCTCAGCTCCTAGGCTGAACTCAGCAGATCGGCCCATGAAAACTTCTGTATTGAAACAAAGGAAAGGATCCGTCAGAAAGCAACACCTACTATCCTGGGCTTGGCAGCAAGGAAGAAGACAAGTAGTGGAAATCCTGCAATCTGAAAAGCAGACTGAAAGGTATACAAATTCACCGCATAATGTGACCAATTTTTGAGACTTTTCCAAAATTTCTGGAGTTATAAGCTGAGACTATAGAAACTTCCCTTTAAAAGATTCTGAACTTTTCTTACTTGGAATCTCACTCAACATTTGTTTCCATTTACTTACAGGTGACAAAGAAGCTGAAGATGGGTGGTGGAGAGAGGTATAACATTCCAGCCCCTCAATCTAGAAATGTTAGTAAGAACCAACAACAGCTTAATAGACAGAAGACCAAGGATCAGAATTCCCAGATGAAGATTGTTCACAAGAAAAAAGAAAGAGGACATGGTTATAACTCATCAGCAGCTGCATGGCAGGCCTTGCAAAATCAGGGGAAGAACAAAAATTTTCCAAATAATCAAAATTGGAACTCTAGCTTATCAAGTCCCAGCTTACTTTTTAAATCTCAAGTTAATCAAAACTATGCTGGAGCCAAATTTAGTGAGCCGCCATCACCAAGTGTTCTTCCCAAACCACCAAGCCACTGGGTTCCTGTTTCCTTTAATCCTTCAGATAAGGAAATAATGACATTTCAACTTAAAACCTTACTTAAAGTACAAGTATAAAATAAGATAAAGTATTAATGTTTCGATTTAGTTGTTTATGGCTAGTTGTCAATTGGTCTCAAACAAATTCACTGGAGAATCTTTGTGTAGAACTGCTAATTAGTGTAAAGAATATAATTAGGCTTCATCTCATTTGTTTTATGTGTTGTGTGCACTGTGATGTAAGGGCAGTATCAGTGCAACTTAAAAATTTTTAATGAAATTAATCATCGTACTTAATGGTAAGTGTTCTTGGTTGAGTAGCTTTTAAGTGAAACCATTCAAGTTTAGATATGGGGAACGGTAATCAAGTTTTTCTATCAGAAAAATAATAATTTAAGATCATTTCATGAACCAGTAGATTGCTGAAAGTGAGTCAGATTATAAACATCTAGCTGAGACATAAAGGACTGAGGATTAGGTAAAACATTGGAAAGTTTTAACATACTAGAGACATCCAAACCAGTAGTGTGCCAACAACTTGATGCACTGCCAGAAGAAAAGGTGAATCTTTCTTCATAGTTGTATTTTATTATAGTGCTGAATGTGGAAAAGGCACTTGGGGCTTATTAGAACGAGACACAGTATACCCCGAGGGCTGTTTCTTAAATGCAGTGAATAGGTATCTACCAACAAGTGCACCCAAACCATTTTTTATAGAAATAGTATTTAATGGTTATGCAATAGCTCTCAGAATACATTTTTGTATTATAGCTCTGCACAATCTATTTTGATAGTGATCTGGTCTCATCCCCTCCAAAGCTTGCTTTGGGGAGTTGTATAATGTGAAAGTTTTAAGTACCTAGGGAAAAAAGAGCCATGTAAATACATGTAATAAACTTGTAGCATATGTAAAGTTTTCTTGGCTTTTATCCTACAAAAATATTTTAGTATGAATTTGCTGAATGTAAGACCATGGGCTGTTTTTTATACTATGGCCTAATTTTAAAGGTCCAAAAAAATAGTTTTTAAAGTTTGCCCTTGTGCTGAAGTGCCAGTATATGTATGTTATAAATGATTTGGTTGTAAACTATGTTTCAAAGTAAATCCTAGTGTAATAAGTATTATAACTAAAAAGGTTTAAGCTGCTAAAACACTTTTTAAGAGATGTGAAATGCAGTATGGAACTATTTTCCCCCCCTTTAATCCCAAAGACAAACTATTAAAGGCTCCCTTCAAGCCTAAAGATTTTGGCTTTGGCCAAGTCTTACAACTTATGATACAAAGATAGTGTACAGAGCTAGTGTTTTTTGGGTTTTTTAGGTTAAGAGTAAGCGCAAGCCAATGGACCACTTGTGCAAAAGACAGACTCTTGCATAATACCTTGATAACATGTTTTACCAACCTTAAGGGTAAATGCTAAATGTAACAATCCTGTAGCAAGTTAAAAAAAAAAGTGGGTCAATTTAAAAAATTCTGATTGTTAATGCCTCATTTTCTAGTTTGACATCTTTTTGATGTTTATAGGCAGAATGGCTAAGTTGTATTTCTCCAAATAAACTTGGATGAAATATTGCCCAAGTCAGATACTGGTATCATAAAGACAAGTTTATATAGTACTTACTGTACATTGAATTTGAAGCATGAAATTTAAAAAAATAAAATTATTTTTCCTCCCCTGTGACTTGTTTATAATCTAAAACAATTATAATTGCTTAGTATGTATTCTTAGAATGCTCGTAACTAACTGTGATAGGGGTATTAGCTTGAAAAGAGGCAATGAGGCTGGGCACAGTGGCTCGTGCCTATAATCCCAGCACTTTGGGTGAGAGGATTGCCTGAACCCATGGGTTTGAGACCAGCCTGGGCAACTTGGTGAGACCTCATCTCCACACACAGACGCACGCAATTAGCTGGGCATGGTGGTGCGTGCCTGTAGTTCCAGCAACTTGGTGAGACCTCATCTCCACGCACACACGCAATTAGCTGGGCATGGTGGTGCGTGCCTGTAGTTCCAGCTACTTGGAACGGTGAGGCAGCATTGCCTGAGCCCAGCAGGTCGAGCCTGTGGTGGCCCGTGAGCGTACCACTGCACTCCAGCCTGGGAGAGGCGAGACTCCAACTAAAAAAAAGTACCCTTCATACAAGGGGGCACTTTGAAGAATAGCATCACAACCACACACTTGCTAATAGGCTCCAAATGATAGGGCAGCTTCAAGTAGTAATCTCATGATAAGGCTTTTAAAAATGCAAACTAGGAAATAAAGTTGATTTGGAGATGAGGTAGAAGCAACATTTTCCTGTGTTTCCAGTTTAATTTCAGTGGGCAAAGGCAAGTATTGCCGAATTCTTTATGTACTGCAATAGAACTTCACTAGATTGGACAGGTCTCAGCCCAGGTGTCTGTTTTGGATCTATACATCAAAATATAGCAGTGTACTCAATTTTTGGTTTGGGAATGACTCAAGCATAAGACAAAAGTGCTGAGAATGGAGGGTGGGAGTGGAAAGGGCTCTTAATTACCTGTAAAAATTTTAATAGCATAAGAGTAACCCACATAAAAGTGACCATCTATGTGAACACCTCAAACCTTAGGTCCTAATGAAAGTTGTGGTTAGCCTACAGAAAGTATGGTGAAGGAATTTCCTAAATCAATGGGTTTGTGAGAACCAAAAAACAGCTGAAGCAGACAGCCATGCTGTGAGTCTTCTGTTTTAATTTCAACTTTGATCTGTGAGTCTTGTTTTAATTTCAAATTTGATCTTTTTGATGACAAGAGTATATAGGATGATGGAATCCAGGTCCATACCCTATCCTTAAAATAAATCCTGATAAACTCTTTTCCAAAACAAGCACTAGATAGGAAAAAACCCAAAGGGTTTTTATATACACCTCATAAACTTTCTAGTGTTTTAGTTGCACTCATAGGTGATTAAGGCAAGAGGAACAGTACATTCTAGTCTCTTAAACAACTTAGGGAAAAGTGTACCTACATAGTCACAAATCTAAGTGGAGTAAAATTAAAAAAAAAAAAACTTTTGTTGTTGCTCCTAGACCAATTTATTTCACTCTCCAGCAAAGAAATGTGATATGCCAAAAAAATTAGATACAAAGGCCTTTTACTTCAAACTACTGTCCATTCTCAATGAAATGAATTTGCATGCCTCAGCTTTTATTCCAAAAAAGAAAAATCCTCATCATTTAATACAAGAGTGAAACAGCTGTTACAAATACACAGAAACATAATAAAGGCAGCCAACACTGTTAGAGTAAGGGCAAGAGGAAGAACCTCGAGAGAAGAAACCTTTTCCAGTGACCGACACAATAACTTTTGGATGTCAATAACTAAAGGTAAACAGCTTGCTTATTACTTCATCCTGTTAGATCATCACTATTTAAAATGACAATGGTTCACTCCTGGGACTTCCTACAAGCTTTGGTGGTCCTAGTAGAATGCCATTAAATTATTCATGAGTTATTGCCCAATGTCACAGTTTTCCCATTTCAGAATATAATCTCAGGTTCTGTAAACAGAAACATGGGTCAGAATGCAATACGATAGAAAATCTGCAAGAGACTGAAATTTGGAAAGCCAGGCTGAAAGAGTCTGAGCCACAACACCATGAGATCTTGATTACATTTAATCCTTTTCATCCAAAAAAGTTATTACCTTGTAAGGCTGTGAGGAATGAACAGCATATTCAATAAAACTATCACATGATAGGCATTCCATAAACGATAATTTTCTCACCTGTAAAATGGGAATAGTACCCATTTCCCAGGAGTGTTTTTAGATTAAACAGGAAATTTGAAAATCATATAGTTGGCATGTCCTTGGCATGTCCATTGCTCAATACTACTGACAGCATTCAGTATAAATGGAAACCACAGAAGAGACACTGAAGCAATTCATACAAAATCAACAGATGCCAAAACCACATGGGCCCTTTCTCACCATAACTAAGTTTTTGAAATACTAGGTATTATTGTTCTTATATTTCTATTCACCAATATTTGTTTGAACAAAATCTCAATTGAATATGCAACTCTATTCTCCTCCTTGAATGTTTTGACCTCAATTCAAAAGGAAACGGAGAAGTAGAGAGCAAAACAAACACAGAACCTCTTCCCTAAGGTACCTCGATGTTAATGATTATGTAAAGATAGAAAAAAAACTTTTGTAATTAAATCTAGTCATCTTTGCCAAGTAAGTAAACTCTAGATTCTATTGATATCAAGTTTTATCTCCATGAAAATAAAGCTATTAAAACATTTTTCCATTTGATTAAAAACAAAGATGAACCAAGTGAAATTAACTTGAACCTAGGATCTGCTACTTGCTGTGTGACCTTGGACATGTTAAAACATATTTTTCTAGATAAAATACCTCCAGTTCATACCTCCCTTGAGTTGCATGTGTTCTGCTATATTTTCAAAATTCTTATAAATTAAGGGCTTAAACCCGTATTTCCAGATGAATAACTTTAAATATGTGGCAAAAATATGTCAAAAACAAAATATGTGATGGAATCAATGTATATAGGTAAACGGACTTCATTTCCTAATAAGAAACTAAGGAATCCAAAACATTTGTGATACTATAAAAGTTATTTATTCACTATACACAGAACATGTCCCCTATAAAATGTACATGTAAATCACTAAAAAGTATAATTTGGTGAACATTTTCTCAATTACAGAACATACTAGATCAGTTCGGATAACAACTCTCTGTCTGCCTCAAAATAATCTAATTATAGCACCCAGAGTCTCCTTTATATCTAATGAAAAGTTAAGTACTTATTTTGGGGATTACTTGCTAATGTGTTTGATGAGGCAGAGTTAACAATTGAATATAACTCTAGTATATTACAGTCACTGCACAATAAATCAGTTTATTACAGATTAAAACAAATCATTTTTCCATTATTTTTACTAATGGGATGCAAACAAAAATACTGGATACTTTTAAATGGCAGAGAATCACAAAATTACTTATCTTTGATATTATACTGGGCTTCATAATTACATTAAGATTATGAACGATGTAAAATAGTTATGAATAATACACCTCAAACAAAACGAGGCCATACTGTAATGGCTCACTAGATTGTGCTCAGTAGATATTTATTGAATAAGGGAATTATCTATTTTTCTCCCAAATTATCCAGTACAATGTTTTGCCCACAGTAAGGGCTCAATAAATATTTGCTGAACATACTGACTAGGAAAGAGGTGAGAAGAGATGGGCCCTCTTAGCTGGATGTCAAGTATAATTGGAATTTACCTGGCAAAGAAAGTAGTTGAGAAAGATGTAAACTGCATGTGGCGTGCAAGTAAATAAACTCAGATGCCAACAAAGCAACGATTAAGCAGAAACACTGGCACCAAAATAAACAAAGGCAAGATTTGCCAATAATGGCGAAAATGGAACTGACTTTTATACTGGACCATGCCTTTCCCCACCCAATTCAGTTAGAGACAGACCAATAGAGGCACTGTAAGAGACTATGGCTGTCTTCCTTGATATTCAGACATCCTAGTTTCCAATAATTTTTTATGGACCTGTTACCCATGAATCAATATAAACCTATTCATATTTAGGGATTAGTTTTCACAAGTACAAAGTTGAATTGCCTTTTGTCCTAAAATGCTTACTTTCAAACTTGAAGGGACTTCAATTATTCCATGTAGTTTTCGATAACATTCTTTTATCTTTTCAGACCAGAGTCAAAATATTCGTACAGTATTCATACTGCAGCACCTTCCACCCACCCTTTGGTCGCTTGAACTGCCCTTCTTTGGTTCTTTTTCCGCTTTCAGATCTTTCTTGAAGTGTAGTAAGCAGAACTGTACTGGGTATTCCAGCTGCAGTTTGGTCTTAAATAAAAGAAGGATGTTTGTCAGTTTGGTTTTCTTTATTCTTCTTTGTGGTATACAGGATTTTGTTAGTTGAACTGGATGTAGCAGCTTACTGGGCCAAATTTTCAAGAGAATAATACAATAGTTCCCAGGTCTTTCCCCTGGGTTGTAACTTAACAGCTCATACTCTATGTAGCACCTTTCCTCTCTCACTGAAGCATTATCTCTCATTTTTCTTCTTGCTTACTTGGCTTCGGAAAAAAAAAAAATGCAGAGAGATCTTAAGTAAAAGGACAGGTGAAGTGTCAGCCCTCATATGAGTGTTGATAAAACCACTCTAATATTGAGCCCAGTGCCAGATACAGGTACTCATTTAAGTGTGGAACTCAACTGCGCAACCCAAATTAAACTTAAAATACTATGTAAAGATCCTCATCCAAGTATCAGTAGGATCCAAACTATCATGGAATCAACCATAACATAGTTCTTTTGAAGCTGTTAGGCATATCACTTGAGAAACAACATATACGGTTCTCAAGAAAACAGTCTGAGTATAAAAATAAGTTGACACAAGTAAAAAATAAAAATGAAAACATTAGGCCCTAGTTCTATACAGAGATTCAGAACAATTTCAACAAGCTACCTCCTCAATCTATTTCTCTCAAATTATAGTCTGTAAAAAACAAAAAAATAAAAAACTAAGGACCAGACCTATACTCAAATCCTGGCTGGGCCTCTTACAGCCTTTCTTTGTGTATCAGTTTCCAAGTATTTTTCTCATAAGATTTTGTGAGAGTAAATGAGTTAACACATAGCCTTTTGAAGTGTTTGACACATCATAAATACTTAAAATACATTATCAGCTATAATTGTCATATAAAGTAGCTAGAATTCAAACCATAAAACACCTAGCCTACTTCCCCAAAATGGTTATCACTTAATATTAACTGCTCACCAACATTCAATAAAAAAGAATTTTAAACCATGCCATAAACATAAGGCCCAATTCATCCTATATAGGAAGAGGGAGAGCAGAATTTCTGATCCATCCAATACTAAAAGTATAAACTTATAATTAGCTGACCTAAATTTGATTTTAATATGTATCTTAACACTAGCAAATAACCTCAAGTTATTTAACCCGAGGCTTAATGAGAAATCATGAAACAACTCCGACATTACGTAATGAAGTCTTTAAGTACTGTGTAAAAGATGTAGCTTTCTGGCAAGTTCTATCATTTCCAAAGTAAAAGCTAGTTGTGCCTAGTGCAACACTGATTTAAAATATTCCTAAATCTACAAAGGACTGGTTCCACTGTTATTTTAGAATCATATTCAATACTATAATAATTCCAGTTAATCATTATTTCCTTCATTTTGTTTTTATTATAGCATGTTTGCTTAATTTACAGCAAGCAGAAAATAAGCTGGGTCTTGTTTTGATCCAAACATTGATGTTTTAAAGGTTGTACACAATATTTGTTAAAAAGAACATATAAAAATACCTTTTTAGAAGCTTCTATAAGAAAGAAAATACAAAGTTTAACCCCACAACTTTCCTCTTTGCTAGAACTGCAAACTACTGCTACAGTTTAAATAGACTTTTTGTTGTTTAAACTATACATCCAGGAAAATCTAAAAAAATTAAAGAAACGTGCATATAAATGATTGCATAGCAGAACAAGAACATTAACTGCAAACAGTAAAGAAATGAAAGTTAGAAATACTATCAAATGTACAAAGGTTCTAGAATCAATCCTTTAAACACATTCCACAAACAGTATTTAAAAACCATCTTTTTGTTCTTTACAGGCAAAGCCTAGATTACTAAAACCAAAATTGAAAAAAGTAATCCTCTAAAAGGAATCGTTTCTCCATAATTCTTACTTATACCTGTAAGCAAGCAATCTGAGATTTTTAAAGATGCTAGCTTTTTATTCTGAAATGAAATTGGACATATCAAGTCACTTTTGCCCCCAAAACGATTTTTCAGAGAAATACTAGAAATTATAAATGGTTAAGGGTATTACGTCTTTATTTTTAGTCAGGTACTACATTGGTAATCAGAAACTTATGACTCTTGCTGAAAACTGACTAATCCTTTTCCAAAATTATTTTAAATTTCATGGCACCACAGAATCACCTAGAATGAGTGTGTTGTCTTTCAACTTGCCTCACATTAAATAAAATGTGTGAAGAGTAAGCCTCCCTCATAAAGAGGCAGGCAAATTTTGATACAAACGCACACAAAGTGCTGTATCAAAATTGTTTTTTTTACACTATGAGCGCACGCGCACACACGCACACATACACACAAAACCTACTTTGAAACAATTTACTAGCTTCTAAGAGCAGTAAAAAACAAAACAAAAAACTAAGCAATATTATGGTCAATAATGCTCCTTAAATTTCAGGATAACTACAGAGGAAAATTCTTTTCCCCTTAAAATTATTTTTGCCATTTCGACCTGCTCAAATTTTAAGGTGAATTTTTCTAATGTTTTCTATGTTCCAAATCTTCACAGAAATCAGAGAAAAGCAGTGAAGGCTCCATGTTTCAGTCAAAAACTCAACCTCCCTGAAAATACTATGTAACCCAGCTGGCATCTTTTCCCAAGACAGTGGGGTTAACAAAAAAAACTATTCCACACTGCATCATAAATAAACTATTATCACGGGCCTAGACATCTTGACAAGACATAAAGGTCCACCCTGAACCTAAATGTGTCTGAGCAGTCAGTGTTGTACCTGTGGCTACAACTTCACTTTTGTATCATTCTATCTTATTAGCAAGCTACATTTCTAGGTTAACAGTTCTACCAAATATGAATATGAGTTTATTTTTAATAAGACAATGTTGCAAATTATGGTCAACCAACATCTTTTCACCAAATACTTCAAGCATAAAAAATGAGAATCTTTACAAAAATATACAGAGACACCACAAATTGGTAGCTGCCCATAACATTAAACAAACTGGACTCTTAAGAGTGGCTTCTCAACAGCATATCATTTTAATTATAACCATTGCCTGGTACAGGGAAAACTAACAAGTGTTTTTTAAGCATCATTGCAACATTGTATTCCTGATAATTTAAGTAAACCAAACTATGAGTAAATGAATGATACATGCCTAAAAATGATCATGGTTTATACTATCAGTGGCCACTGGACTTAGGACTAGTCCAAGACCTTGATCTAGATTTTGACCTAGACCTAGACTGTGATCTTGACTGAGATTTGGATCTAGGTGGTTCTTTTTTCCTTGATTCCTTTTCATATCTTGAGCCAGACTTATAATGTGTTTTGGAATCTGTTTTAGAGGTGCCTCTAGTTTTGGTGTGAGATGCAGACCTAGAACGTGATTTAGCCTTCATTTCTTTCTTGGACTGGGACTTGGACCGTGATCTTGAATTGGATTTAGATCTTGAAAAAGATCGATGTTGGTGTTTGAATCTATCATTGTAAGCCCACTGTCTTGGGAAAAGATGCCAGCTGGGTTACATAGAATTTTCAGGGAGGTTGAGTTTTTGACTGAAACATGGAGCCTTCACTGCTTTTCTCTGATTTCTATGAAGATTTGGAACATAGAAAACATTAGAAAAATTCACCTTAAAATTTGAGCAGGTCGAAATGGCAAAAATAATTTTAAGGGGAAAAGAATTTTCCTCTGTAGTTATCCTGAAATTTAAGGAGCATTATTGACCATAATATTGCTTAGTTTTTGTTTTGTTTTTTACTGCTCTTAGAAGCTAGTAAATTGTTTCAAAGTAGGTTTTGTGTGTATGTGTGCGTGTGTGCGCGTGCGCTCATAGTGTAAAAAAACCTGAATTTTGATACAGCACTTTGTGTGCGTTTGTATCAAAATTTACCTGCCTCTTTATGAGGGAGGCTTACTCTTCACACATTTTATTTAATGTGAGGCAAGTTGAAAAGACAATACACTC